TCTTCAGGCTAGAGGGCAGTAGTCACGTATGTTTCATTCCAGACAACAGCGCTCCTACTAATCTGCTTTTAGAGCATGGAGATCGACGGGACGACGTTCTTGAAAGAAGTTCGTGCTGGGGCGACGACTTTTGCTGCTATGACGTATATCATTGCTGTTAATGTAAGTAGTCTGTGAGGGAGAGTGAGGAGGAGTGCTGATGAGGTGTAGGCTTCTATTCTGTCGCAGACGGGGGGGCCATGTGTTTGTGATGAGACGAATAGGATTGATTGTGATAAGATTGATAGCTATGTGATGTGCAAAGAAGGTGAGCTTACCTTTACTTCGCGAAGAAGAAGAAGAAGACTAATGAGATGACAGAGGTGAGACGAGATCTCGTCACGGCGACATCAGTCATCGCAGGACTCGCAACACTCGTGTTCGGTCTCTTCACCAATCTACCTATAGCCCTCGCGTAAGTACCCATTTCCCAAGACTTCACCCATCTAACATGGAACAGACCTGGCATGGGCCTCAACGCCTACTTCGCCTTCCAAGTAGTAGGCTACAACGGCTCAGGCAGTATTCCCTACGGCGTCGCGTTAACAGCCGTCTTCACCGAAGGTCTCATCTTTGTCTTCCTCGCACTTACGGGAATGCGACAATGGCTCGTCAAACTCATCCCGTCAACTATAAAATCTGCAACGGGAGCAGGCATTGGTTTGTTTCTCACAGAGATCGGGCTATCGTACGGTTCGGGCATTGGTGCTATTACTGGCGGGTTTAACGCGACGCCGCTAGCAATAGCTGGATGTCCTGTTGATAAGATTAATCCGGATACTCAGATGTGTGAGGGCGGGATAATGACCAGTCCGAAGGTGAGTTGCTGACCCGAAATTGTGAGAGATATACTGACTTTGATAAAAGCTTTGGACTGCGATATTTGCTGGTGGGTTACTGACGGCGTATCTCATGGCCTTTCGAGTCAAATACGCGTTCATCATTGGCATCGCATTCGTATCCATCCTCTCATGGCCGTAAGTCGTCCTCTACCCGCTGCCTTTCCGGGTTCTAATAGAAGCAGACGCGACACTGCCGTTACATATTTCCCTCACACACCAGAAGGAGACTCCCGTTTCGAGCTCTTCCGCAAAGTAGCTTCCATCAACCCCATGAAGCACACCCTCAATGCTCTTGACTGGAACGTCGGCCAACACGGTACTCAATTTGCCCTTGCCCTCTTCACATTCCTTTAGTAAGTTCTTCTAAATTCTTCTAAGTTCTTCTAAGTTCTCTTATCTCACCTTCACTGACAAAACCAGCGTTGATATCATTGATGCCACAGCAACAATGTTCTCCATGGTCCGATTCTGCGGCGTCGTTGACGATCGAGATGGAGATTTTCCCCGCTCAACCCTCGCCTATTGCTGCGATGCAATCAGTATTTCTATCAGTGCGCTGTTTGGTTGTTCACCTGTTACAGCATTCATTGAGAGCGGAGCTGGTATTGCTGAGGGAGGTCGCACGGGTCTTACAGCTATGACTACTGGCTTCTTGTTTCTTTTGTCTATCGTGTTTGGGCCCATCTTCTCATCTGTGCCGCCGTGGGCAACTGGACCGGCTCTGATTCTGGTAAGTTGCGAGATAGACGTATACTTGGACTTGACTGATGATTCACAGGTCGGATGCATGATGGCTCGTCAGATCACTGAGATCAACTGGCGCTATATCGGTGACACGCTCCCCTCATTCGTCGTCATTGCCTTTGTTCCATTCTCATACAGCGTAGCCTACGGAATCATCGCGTAAGCCACCCTCCACCTCAACCTGTTACCCCACTAACATCCCATCAGCGGCATGTTTCTCTACACTGCTCTTAATCTCATGATTTCCTTAACCGTTCGCCTCTCAGGCGGCAGGCTAGAGCCAGATAACTACGACATGAAAGAATACTGGACCTGGAAGGCGCCAGGAAGAAAACCATGGTTTGTACGGGCTTTTAGAAATGTTACTTACTCTGCAAAGGATACACATGAATCCAGTCCTCAAACATTTGATGCCCATGGTGGCTTGGACTGTGAGATGGTGAGAGTTGCGTCATCGGATGAGAGAAAGGATGATGCGCGCGTGTCGGTCTCTGTACCTGTGCCTGCGCTTTCTAGATTCTCTCGTTGAGGTGGCTATGGCTTCTCGACTACCTGGCTGTCTTTCATTCATGCTGTTAAGGAGCATTGTTCAATTCTTGTACATACTTATTAGTTCACTTAGACTTGACGCATTACTGCACCCAAATTGATCAATCATTATTACCAACTAAAGATGTGTTTATTGAGCAATTAGATGGACTGTAGTTGTTCTCTTGTACGTTGTGATCCCGCCGCAAATCAAAGGTAACGAGAGAAACTCAATTGGGCTTATTGCAAGATTTGGGCTTCCATCCCTCTGGCTTCAAGACCTGTCCAGCTGGATCGAATCCCGGTGCAACTATTGACGTTAGTTCTTCTCTCCACCCCTTCAAAACCACTCCATCACTTACCAGTTGTCCCAACAAGAGTCCAGTCACCCAGACTTCGGGCACTCTGCCACTCCTCCGCCTTGACAACGACCTGCGGTCTCTGTCCACTGAAGAGATCATTGCCCATTACATGGTCCCTCGTACAAGATCCATCATTCTTCGATAGCGACAGAACAAGAGGTGCACCCGCGTAATAGTGCCAAACTTCCGCGGCGTCGAGTTTATGCCAAAGAGATTGCCCCGCAGAACCTTCGAGCAGATAGTAAATAGCTGTGCTGACGGATCGATTGGTTCCTGGAACGGTAGTCGGGTCTACGAAAGTTTGGACAAAGTAACCTTTTTCGGTGTTGGGTTCAAGCTTGAGAAGGTCGATGACTTGCTCTGCTGAACAGTCTGTGATGGGTTTATGCTTGGTGCGGCGGTCGAGAGATTCGGGGATATGGAGGGCCAGGCTAAGAGGGAGCCATGATAGAGCGAGAGCGAAACGCATGGTCGTTGAACTGAGCAGTAGTTATTTCTATGAGAGTGAGAGGATTCTGTCGAGTCGATAGTCCAGCCATTGCAGACGGCGATCTTCCATCCTTTTGTACCTCATCTCTCAGCCATGCTTACTCCCGGCAGTTTCGGATCGACAATGATGCGGGGGGCTGGAGGTGTCAGATTCACCGCTTGCAAGCAGTAAAGCGTGAATTACCAATCTCACTCATGACGTACACTCTTGCAAATCCTCATTTATCGGCTGAATCAGAGCAAAATCCTTCCCTTATACGCTCACGAGTCTTACACTGGCACTCGGAGCTACCAATGGCATGTCACTCGGCGTAAAGAGCGGGTACCGCCGCGTGCCGGGGTCTGGACCCTTGAATATCTCAATCGGGAAGCCCCGATATTTGAAGAGTTTATCAGATAAGAAAGTCTACTTTAACGACGAGTATTCCTCTCAATTAAGACGGACTTCATCTTTCTTGTCATACTCAAAATGGCAGCCAAAACACCGCAAGAGATTCTTGCTGCACTTCTCCAAACAGTCGAGCGCGACATCGTCCCCTTGACGAGTGATGGCGTCCGCTCAGGCAGCAAAGTCTTCGGCGCCGCAATCCTCTCATCCGAAACCCTCAAGCCTTTAACCGTCTCAACGAACAATGAGCGCGCCTCACCTCTTCTTCACGGGGAAATCAACTGCATCCAGACATTCTACACGCAAACATACCCCGATTCCAAATCTCGACCGGATCCCCGCGAAGACTGTGTCTTTTTCGCAACACACGAACCTTGCAGCCTGTGTTTGAGCGGAATCACATGGTCTGGTTTCAAAGAGTTGTACTATCTGTTTACATATGAGGATAGTCGTGACCAGTTCGCTATTCCGTATGATATTGAGATTTTGGAAGAGGTGTTCCGAGTGAGGGCTGAGGGAGAGAGTGATGAGGCTGTTGGGAAGAGGGCGTTGTATAACAAGAGGAATAAGTTTTTCACGGCGAAAAGTGTCAAGGATCTTGTTGAAGAAATCGAGGATGTGGATGAGAAGAAACGATGGAGTGAAGAGGTGGATCGGGTGAAGGCGTTGTATTCGGCGTTGAGTGATGAATATCAGAAGAATAAGCAGAGCGGTATAGAGACATCTAGCACTTGGAAATAGTTACGAGGTATTATTGGGATGAATCTTGGATCGTGGATGTAGAGCTGAGCTGAGCTTTTAAGATACCCTAAACAAGAAAGTTGGAGTTACAGTAATTTACAACAACAGGTTAGGTCCAGCTCATCTGAAGCGCCAAAAATGAATGAATTTATATTTATCAAGTCCTCCATCTATTATCCAAAAGAAGAAAAAAAAGACCAATGAGCTTTATGGGGGAAAAAGAGAAAACTTGCTAATAGGCATATCAGTGCAATCTTAGCTAAATCTCGAGCCCCATGCACTAAAAGTCACAACATCCTAATCTCAGCAATTCCCCAGATTGCGATAAGATAATGAATTCCAATGATGTGCTTTCCTCCCATCGGAAAAACAATCCCATACAATCTCCAAACCCGGATCAATTATCCCTCAAAATTGATGCTTGAACAAAACCCCGATCGAAAAATCGGAGCCCGAGATCTGGATCGGGCCGCTAGCGTTTTAGTGTCGGTCTAAAAGCCTGGAAGGAGGGTTATTCCCCGTAACACGGTTACATCATTTGTTTATCGCGTGCGACTTGACAATTCATGCTGCATTGTCGCGAGAAGCGCTTTGCCGTAGACTAGCCATATTAGATGCTTCTCTTGAACAGACGCTCAATGTAACGTATACGTAGGAGCGGTACAGATTGAATAAGGGTGCATGCTGTGAGGTTATCGCGACGTGTATCGATGGATGCCAGGACAAAGTTGTCTTGACTGCCGTAGGTTTCATCCAGATCATCTCGGCTAGTCTCAACGTCATGGCTTAATGTTGCCTTGGCAAACCCACAAAATAATACCGCAGTGAATACGACCAACTTTGCTTCGTCAACATTCGTTGTTGACGATGGACTCCGACATCGCACATGATCTCGACAAGTTGAACATTCGCGATATTCTCAACGCAGACTCTCGTCCGACGTTTATTATTGATCTCGATCCAGATGACGAGACCCCACTGCGCTCAAAGGCCATCCAGCCTGTGTTTTGCAACAGTGCCCTTGCGACGCATGAACGACTCTTAGATGCCGTGCGCGGTGAGCAGAGCGAGAGTGAGTATGGAGACTTCAAGACGTGGGCGACGGGAGTTACGAAGCAGGATGACTCCAAGGATGTGTTTCCCTTGTTTTTTCTGTACAAGGGCTTGCTTTGGACGGGGTCGACGGTTGCGAAGAGATGGAGGTTGATTAGTGGGAATCGACTTTGGCAGCATCCCGACACACCGGCGAGTTTATCATCGAGTGCGCTTTCGAGAGCGAGTACGCCGAGTTTGAAAGAGCAGGATACGCCAAAGGGCGACGCTTCGAAAACGCCAAAGCAAGACGAAGCGAAGGACGAGACCACTGAGGATACGACGCATGAGATGACGCCGACGGAAGCAACGCTGATAGCGTCGACACCGCGAAAATTCCCATTCCGATCCTGGTGGCGAGGCAGTACCTCCAAAGGAAGTTCAGATCGCAACACGGGCAGTACAAGCAGCGGCTCCATCATCCTAGGCAAGCCCGAAAAAGCCGTCGCAGACTGGACGGCCACGAACCCAAAAGGTCTTTTATCACCGTACATCCGCCTCCTCCGCGCCATAGACTGGTCCTCAACGCCGCTAGGTCCCATGTCCTCCTGGTCCCCCGAACTACGCCAAGTAGCCAATCTCGTGATCAACAACCCTCACCCCGCCAATATCTTCTGGGGTAACGACATGACGATGCTTTACAACGAAGCGTATGCCGTTACATTCGCCGGGAACAAGCATCCGTCTATGCTCGGTACTGGAGCGTCTGGGCCTTGGTCTGAAGCTTGGGATGTCCTTGGGCCAGCGCTGCAAGAGGTTGTGAGGACTGGTGTGAGCTTTAGAAGCGACAATAATGACCTGGCGTTGTTCAGGAGGGGGTTCTTGGAGGAGACGCATATATGCTGGTCACTTACGCCGTTGTATGGCGGGACGGAGAGGATCGTGGGCTTTTACAATGCGCCGTTTGAGACGACGGATTTGGTGTTGAGTCAGCGACGCATGGGCACGATAAACAAGGTCAGTGAATCGTTGAGAAAAGCGACGAGTATCAAGAGTTTCTGGAAGTCTGTTCTCGATGGTCTTGAGGATAATCATCGAGATGTCCCGTTTGCACTTTTGTACTCTGTCGGCGAGGCTGAAGAAGCAGATCATCAGTCCAGCTCGTCGGGGAGTACGATATCGAGCAAGTCGTGTTACTTGGAGGGAACGATTGGGATACCGCTTGGACATGATGCTGCGCCGGAGCAGATTGATCTCAAGAGGAGTTACCGGGGATTTGTGCCTTCGTTCCGAGAGGCGATGCGGACGCGGGAGCCTACGCTTGTGAGGATACGAGATGGAACGTTGCCGGAAGATCTACTGCAAGGAATCCAGTGGCGGGGATTTGGAGAGCCTGGTACAGAGGCCATTATCTTTCCAGTTCGCCCTACCAATGGCGAGACTGTGCTCGCGTTTCTCGTGCTGGGTGTAAACCCTCGAAGACCGTATGATGAGGGGTACATTTCCTTCGCAACACTTCTTAACAACCAACTCGCTACTTCACTCGCATCAACCATTCTCTTCGAAGACGAGACGCGCCGTGGCCGCGACGCAGCAGAAGCAGCAGCGCTTGAGAAAGAAGAACTCACGCAGCAACTAAACCTTCAAGCAAGCCGTCTTCGAAGAATGACCGAACTGTCTCCATTGGGAATGTTCCTCACCAGTCCAGAGGGTATTCTCCGCGAAGCAAATGATCGCTTCTACGAGATGACGGGCCATAGTCGAGATACACCAGGTGATGTATCCTGGGCTGATCTCATGAAGAACTCGGGCAGTGTCATGGAACAAGGATGGCATCGTTTAACGCAGGATATGCTCACCTGGTCAGGAGAAGTTAAACTACGAGAAAGTTTCGAGAACCCCGTCAACATCCATGGTGAACCCATCGACTTTTGGGTCCTCGTCACAGCCCATCCCGAAATCACCCTCAGCGGTACCTTGCGGTCTATAATGGGTTCCATAACGGATATCTCACACCTGAAATGGGCACAAGGTTTACAGAACAGAAGATTGCAAGAAGCAGAAGAAACACGCCGTCAGCAGAACGAATTCATCGATATAACATCCCATGAGATGCGTAATCCCCTGAGTGCAATTCTCCAATGCGCAGATGACATCACCTCTGCGATGCAAGCATGCCGCACCAACGGGATCACAGCATCACAGGACGTTATTGAATCATGCCTCGATGCGTCGCAAACCATAGCGCTTTGCGTTCAGCATCAGAGATCAATCGTAGACGACATCCTCACCGTTTCAAAACTCGACTCCAACCTGCTCTTGATAACACCAGTGGTATGTCAGCCGCAGACCATCGTTGAGAGGGTGGTCAAGATGTTTGAGTCGGAAATGTTAGCAAAAGATATCACCCTTGAGATTGATATCAGCACTGAGTTTGAGAAGCTAGCTGTGGATTGGGTTGCCATGGATCCGAGTCGTGTTCTTCAGATCCTTATCAATCTCATGACCAACGCTATCAAATTCACGGCGTCTTCTGCAACGCGTGTGATTAAAGTTGCTGTGGGCGTGTCGAAGGATCCACCCGAGATTGACAACATTCCTGGCTTTGCGTTTGCGCCTACGAGGGGTGAGATTGGCAGTGTCGTTGGATCGGATGAATGGGGTTCTGGAGAGGGTTTATACGTGAGGTACAGAGTGCAGGACACAGGCTGTGGATTGACCGAGGATGAGAAAAAGCGGCTGTTTCAGAGATTCAAGCAGGCTAGTCCACGAACACACTATAAATACGGCGGTAGTGGTCTAGGACTCTTCATATCGAAACGACTGGCTGAGCTACATGGCGGTCGCATCGGCGTTGCGTCTACAGCCGGCAAAGGCAGTGACTTTGGTTTCTACATCCAAGCACGACGATGTTCACCTCCCAGCGAACAAACCTCCCCCCAACCCATCCTCTCCGAAGTACCCTCTACCAAAAAGACACCCCACCTCTTGTCCCCCAACCCCTCCGCCCGAACCCGACGAGAGAGCATCCTCGCCGCCGTCTTCAACCCCAGCGCCCTAACAGTCCACGTCGTCGAAGACAACCTCATCAACCAGAAAGTACTCGTCAATCAGCTCCGCAAAGCAGGCTGTACCGTAAGCGCGACAAACGACGGGCTCGAAGCTTTGGAGTTTCTCAAAAAGACACATTTCTTTAAAACTGGGGGATCAGATTTATCTGTTGTACTCATGGACTTGGAGATGCCGAACATGGATGGGTATCAGTGCGTTAGGGAGATACGACGACTGGAGAGGGAGGGGCTGATTGCGGAGCATGTTCCTGTTATTGCGGTGACGGCGAATGTGAGGGATGAGCAGATAAGGATGGCGCTGGATAGTGGCATGGATGATCTTGTTTCGAAGCCGTTTAGGATTCCGGAGGTTATGAGTAAGATTGAGGGGCTGTTGAAGAAGTGCAATAGGTAACTGGCTTGGAGTAATGGTTCCTCAGGGTTGGATTTATTGTCAAGCATTAGGCGTTGTTTAGAGTAGTTTACATTCGGAGGGTCTATTAGCAGCCAATCTTACAGTCTGGGTATGGCTATACTTGATAGGTGAATGCTGGCCCGCTTTGGTTGAATGGAAACGGCGCGTTACAAAGAGTGAGGCGTGATGGGGTGATCCCTGAATGCCCTCATACGGTTGGGCCTCAAGATCGGCGCTGCAGTCTCGCCGGTCCCCCACGTCCCTGATCACGCAGGGTCTTATCGTATGTACACAATAAAACAAGTGCAAAAGGGATAGAATATGTGATGCTATTGAAATGGACAATCTGCTACGCTCAAAACACGCTATGCTAATGCTCCCTAATAAACACTCCGTCTATCCACACTCCTCCTATCAACACTCATAGCCCTCGCACTCCTCCCCCCACTCCTCCCCGAAACCGCACTCCGTCCCGATGAGCTCCTCCTATCAGACGCAACACTCTTGGCCGGCATGATCCTCTTATTCATATCAACAGGCCTCACCTTGTCAAGATCAAGCGACCTGACCTCAAAGTCCGGCTCCCTCTCCATCTCCGCGACCGTATGTTCCCGTCCGATATGGTTGACGAGTGTATCAGCGCTTGGGCATAAAACATCGCCGTCGCGGAAGCGGGAGCACAGAACGCATGCGAATTCTCCTTCTGGTGTGTGGCACTTTATGACGAAGCGTGGGCTGATGTGGAATTCGAGCTCCTCGTCGATCTCGCGCTTGTAGCCTCCTTTTTCTGTGATAACGCGCGTGGCTGTTTTTCCAATTGCCCATGCGTCATCTGCCTCAACGTCTAGAAAGACATCGCACGCTGGACAGAGACAATCACCCCGCGGTTCAAATGTCGATGCGAGGGGCCGTTCGGGAATGTATTGCAGATCAAGGGCGTAGCGACAATAGAGAGGATCGTCCTTAATAACAGTCGATGCCCGTTTTGGCGGCGGTAACGCTTTCGGCAGCGGAGGTTCTTCCAAATCCATGAGTCTCTCCCTCTGCTGTCTCAACGCCCCAAGCGATCCCTCCCTCGCCGCATCACTCGCCGCTATCAACCTTGCCATATCAGCCCTATCAAGCTGCCGTCCATTATACACCGCATCCTGCAGGACATTGATGACAGTCTGCTGCAGCGCAATGACCTGCGCCTGTAGTTTATTCTCCGTGATGACGTCGCCGATCGCAAAGCGCTGTCCATAGCGTTGGTAGCCGTCTTCGAATTCGCGGTTGATCAGGGCGCCGGAGCGCTGGAAGGAAGCTTCGACTTCGTCGCGGGCGCGGGAGTTTTGCTCGACTTGGGCTTTGAGCTTCTTGATCTCCTCATCTTGGGTCGTGTCGCGCTTGGCTTGCTTGCGCTTTTCTTTGACGCGGTCCCAGAGACCCATTGAGGATGTGAATGTTCCGACGAGGGTGCTGCATAGTGTAGCTATGATGAACGTTTTCTACAGAAGCCCGCATTAATAAAAAAACAAATCAATAGCTCAACGGGGAATAGTTACCTTGAGGTTTTTCTCCTCAATCATATTAGCGTAATTCATTTTGTCGATGTTGTTTTGTGTAAGTTCTTTGTCTCAGAAGATATTCCTTTTTACCAGCGCATGAGATCAGTGCGTAGGTTTGATGCCCAACGACCCGAGACATTGAACAAAAGAAGAAAAGTTGCAGATCATCGGCGTATATATGTCTCAACCCCGATCCAGGGTCTTCAGGTCGCACAATGATGGCATTTCCGTGTGAAAGGGTTGCACACCGCTTAATACGTGGTCATGGGCGTTATCCCGCGTTTCCTCTGTCATAATACATATTTCCCGCAGCCAGTGACGTCAGTTGCATCGAGATGTGCCAAGTTTTCTGAATCCTTCGCTGATTGGCGGATCTAAAATAATGACGATGCTTGTTTCCGACGGGTTTTGCACTTTATCCACCCTCGCTCGCTCGCTTTGTCTTGTTTTGTCTTTGACAGTTTAATTTTAGTGCTTTGTTTAAAAGCCAAGATTACTTTAATATTAATCTGGAAGTAGTGAGTGTAAGCTGTTTGTTTCTTTTCTGTGCGAGTTGGTGTCACGTAACTGGCGTTACTCCGATGGACATGGCTCGGCGTTTCGGAAACCCAACCATTATGTCTGCTGACTTTTTGTGCAAGGTACATGGTATTAAATCGCTGTCTGAAATGTATGATTCGCTCTTCGGTATGCAATGCTCTTCCACTCATCCGCCAACAGCCTTACCTCGGGGAGCAAGAAAACGTCAGACCTAGACATAGGGTATCAAAATAAACTCAACAAAAGGTATCCCCAGCCTATACTAACTTACCTACACCTATGCTAAGCTACCTAATTCTTCTTGGCATTTAGGATCGAGGTCCCGAGATTTCTTTCCTCCCCTAGCTTCCTAACAGTCTCCATCTCGTGCTCCATCCCCGACACTGCCGTCTGTCCACTACTGACTGTAACAGTCGTCAGTCCCCCAACGTCACTCAGCATCGGCATATCTTCTTCATCCGGTATCGGCGCCAACGACCTGTCAATGAAGATAGGTTTGTCTGTTGACTGTCCTTCTTTCTGCTTCCTCATCAGATAAATCACCTTCCGAATAAGCTGGCGTGTTGAAGGTGCGCAGGCTACTATGGCGCCCATGTATGTCTCGATACACGCCCAAAGAACGACTTGCTGTTGGCCCGTTTCTGTCGGCGTTAGTCAATAGGTGATAGATAATAGGATACTTGATAAGATGGACTCACGCGCTTCTGCGGGATCAGCGAGGAACTGTGCCGAAAATATCGTGCGGACCAGGCTGACTACTGTGAGGCTGTCATTTGTCAGACATGCACCGAACCAAACGGTCAGAGCATCGTCAGACTTACAATACACCCAAGCCAAACATTGCAATGACGTTGATCTTCTTGTTGAACTTCAGCCCTATGTTATAAAGCTGAGTCATCGGCAGAATAAGCATCCAAATGTCGACCGCCAGATTGACCACGCAGTGCGCCAACACAACCTTGAGAGCTTTCGAGTATCTGGTCAAACTGGACACGGAATCTGCAGTGTTGCCTAGAAGATAACTTGCGGACCGCCCGAGCGTCAGGGCGAGAGTGACCAAGGTGACAGTAGACAAGACGTTGAAGGCGTGTGTTATCCAGACGAGGGTTCTGAAGGTAGGGTCTTGGAACACGCGCAGATAAAAGAAAAGAATCGACGTCTTGGCTGCTGCGAGGCCGCAGACATACAGAAGGTGAAGGACAAAGATCTCCTACAACTGAATCGTCAGCAAAATATCTAACTATGCATTTGTTCAACTACCTTAAGAGCTTGAGACAGGTCATTCTTGGTAAACAATGGCGTAGCGAGTCCGAGGCCGTGATGGATTGCTGTGAGCTATTAGCTGGATACCATACGCATACAGCATGAATAGGTCATACCGAGGAGTGTGAACACCGTGAATGGTATCAGAATGCACTGTCCATCGTTAGCAAGTCATCAGCAAACCGACCGAGAGCCAGTATACAAAAGTGATAGCTGCCCAGGTATCATCAGTGCCCCATGTATTCTTGGTCACGATCTTGGACGTTACTCTCAACAGGAAAAAGAAAAATGACAACGTCGCGAATACAATGATTGTGGCTCGATACTCTTGTCGATTGTCCTGCAGCGGCATCTGGCATAACTTTTTCCCCATAACTATAAAGCCTACATGATGTCAACTCCCAAGCATGCAGTCAATACCCATCAGACATACCTTGTATCTCTTGCGCGGTGCATACTCCAGTAACACAATTCAACACATCGGTCTGAAAGTCAGGGTCATCGCACATCGATCTGATATTCGCATTCGTTTCGCCCGACGAGTCCATCGTTTCGAGGATACATGGTATCTACACGTGTCAGTCTTACGGGGAATAAAACAATCTGCTTCCCGAACTTACTGCACATGAGGGTACCTCTGACAGCGAAATGGCCGTCGCCAACACTGCCAAACAGAGGAGGAACAAAACCCTCGAGACAATCATCTTGAGGCTCTGCAAGACAAGAAGACAGGAATAAAACGGAAATAATCCCCGGGGCCAAAGGTGTTTTAAAAGTGACCCTGCTAAGATTAGTCCAACTACGTTCCTGGTCTAGCCCCTTCATTCTGGCCCAGATCGATCCCATTTCACCGGACAGAAAACATGACACTAAAATCTGAGTCTCAGACTTCATGCCCCCCCTCTAGCCGAGGAATGATTATAGCGCCCATCATTCCAACGGGAAGCCAAATCACACTGCACCAAACCTAAACAGGCGAGTGATCGCGCAGGTGCCCTGCTACGCTATGACACCGGGGATGGCGGGAGCTGACAGTGGCGTCGACACCATCTCCAACACGGGTCGAGGATGTTTCATTAAAAGATGTCTTATTTTCTTTGCTTATTCCCTTAAGACCAACGAACTCGCATTCTCCTCGGAGGTCTTCAAACGCCCAAACTTGCCGTCACTATCATCCCAGACCTCCAAATCGATAAACTCATACTCCCTGCGCTTGTCGTCAAAAGCAAAACTGATGTAACATGACGGTCCGCACCACTCTGAACGCTGCGTTTTGAAACGCCAGAAAAGTGATCTATCAGCAAACAGTCCCTCGTGTTCGAACCATGTCTCCAGCGCGCGCTTCTTGTCCAAATGAATACTGAAGTTCTCTTTCTTAAGGTCTCTGCATTTGGCTAGCCAGTCTGTATGTGCTTTTTCGTGGAAATCAAGACGTATTTCCATCTTGAATGACCGAAGATCTGAGCGGATTGCTTTGAGGGTTTGGTATGGAAACTCGCTCATGTTGATCCCATCGGCGCAATCATTCTGATCAATGTGAATATCAAGTTCTTTCAGTTGCGGAAAGTCAGTGAAGATCTTGAGCTTTCCATCACAGAACCAGTGCTCGTAATCTCTAAAAAGGTGCAATCGTGAAATATAAGCGAAATTAACCTTGGTCAAAGGCGACGTATCACAGATCGGCCACATTCTGTGTCGCCCAACAGCATAGCGGCGCGGCCAGCAATAACCCCTTCGAAAAACGTTTTCCGAGTACAAGATCGGCGTAGCTTCTTTATTAATAATCCAACAGGTGAGCAAGATATTCGGATGGATTTCGAGAGGGCAGTCCCATGGTTCTTTAGGGATGAGACGGAACCTTTTAGAGGTGCAGTAGTGAAGTTCGGCGTGATTCTTGGAGACGAGGAGATGGCGATATATTTCAAGACGGATCTCGGCTGGGAGGGTGAGGAAGGGGGATGTGCCACTTTCGATGTGACGCGATGAGCCTTTGCATTTTCGTGGCGGCATGATTCTCCCGGATTTGGGTGAGTCAGTGGAAGAGTCTTGTTTGAGAGTAGAGTTTGGGTGGAGGAACTCGGTTTTCAGCCGCTGCTGATCCATTTTGCCTCACTGATGCAATAGGATGAATTCGGATAAATTGATGCAAGATAGATACCTGATATAAAGAAACGGCGCGAGCGTGACGGTGAAGAGGTGACCATCGTCAGCATGTAACAGGTATCCTAATCAGAGCGGGTCATTGATCTTCCGGGCCAGCCATCTCACCACAGGGTAGAGAGTATCAGGCTGCAACACTGCATCGCTATACTCCAGCAATGTAGAGCATTTTAACTGGCAAAATCATATCAAGTCCATGTCACTGAATAAGTTTTGCTCAGGTAAACCTCATCGTTTCCGTGCATAAATTTATGAATCTGATCAGAAACCGAGACATTGCACGCTTCATACGTTCACAGGCATCCTGGTGAAGCATGGTACCATAAACAGAGTCTTGATCATCACGACATCTCTGATGTCCAGTCTAAAAAGTCTATGCTGCCCTCATATCTAAGCAAATGCACTTGTTTCTGTAATGTCGTAATATCCCCAACTCCAACCCAACCAACCATTTTTGTCATAACCCTAGTTGCGTCCTCGTTTTCCGCGTCCATTATCACCGTGTCCACCAGGAGCACCATGTTTCTGACGAGGTCGATCAGCAACCGTGTTCAACCCCCGCACACCTCTCAAACCCATCTTGCCAGCCGTGCTTTTCTGAATAGTAGGCACGTCAGGCGATCCCAGACCCTCTCGCGCGTAAACATTGGCTTGTCGAACAAGCTCCTCCTTGTCCCAGCGGAGAGCCTTCATGTGACTGTTGTAGTAGCCCAGCCAAGCTTGGTAAACACGAGACTTCTCATCATCCTCCATCTTCTCGGCGACTTCGATGACGTCTTGGCTGGGTGAGAGGTCGGCTTCGCGGGCGATGAGGTTGATTTCTTTGAGGGAGTACTTGGGGAAGAAACCTTCTGCGTCGCAAACGATCAGGATGCCGCGACCTTCAGCGTCGGCTCGTGCTGTTCGGCCGAGACGGTGGATGTAGCTCTGCTTGTCGGCGGGCATACCGACTTGGACGACGGTGGTGACGCCGGGGAAGTCCATTCCACGAGCGACGACATCGGTAGCAACGAGAATAGCGCTGCGAGCAGTCCGGTAGTCGTTGGTGATTTTCGTGCGCTTGTTCTGGCTCATGCGGCTGTGCAAGATCGAAACGGGGGGAAGGCCGGGAAGATCTTCCAAAAGGCGTCCGTAGAAATCAGCGATGGCAGCGGTCGGCGCGAAAAGAATCGCCTTGAAGGCCTGGCCACGAGTAGCTTCCTCACGAATACAGCCAACCATGGCGGGCGCAACGTCGGCAAAGGTGGGAACTTGGACGAGGAACTGGGGAACGCGCTCGTGGGTGTTGGCTTCACCAGCGGGAATGGTCGAGATGAACTTGTAGCCCGGTGAGAGGACGAGACCAGCGACTTGTTCAACGTGGGGAGCGATGGTGGCGGAGAAGAGCATGCCTTGTCGGTCGGACTTGGTCTTGTCGGGAAGACGGCCGACAATGTCACGGAGATCTTTCATGAAGCCCATGTCGAGAAGACGGTCGGCCTCGTCGAGAACAAGAGTGTTGAGCTTGCGCATGCTGTACACGATATCCTCGTTGGACATGTGATCCAGAAGACGACCGGGCGTAGCGATGAGAATCTCACAACCCGCAAGAATGGCCCGCTCCTCACGATCCTTGTTCGTTCCTCCAATAGCAACTTGAACGCGATACTTGGGAAGTCCTTGAAGAACCTTCTTCGCCTCGGCAGAGATCTGAAGCGCGAGCTCACGAGTCGGTGAAATGACAAGCAGGGAAATGCCATCGCCGGCAGCTCTGTTCTGGTTAATCATAGTCTGCAGCGCAGGGATCAAAAACGCCATGGTCTTGCCGGTACCGGTGCGCGCTTGGACGAGACAGTCGCTGCGGTTCGGGGGGAGAAGTTCATCCATGGTCGCAGCTTGAACGGGCGTCATGAACTCAAACTTCATGTCATTTGTGATGGTGCGCACGATGAGAGGGTTGACCTTGTTGTTCTCCAACAAGCTGTCGAAGCGACGAGAGGTAGGCTCTTCAGTGAGCGGCGGCGCGGACGCAGGCGCAGGCGAAGGTGAAGCCATCTCTACATCTAGCGACTCATTCTCAGTCTTGATCTGTGGGTTGCGAGGCTGGTTTGAACGACCGCCGCCGCGGCCGCCGCCACGAGAGCTGAAGCCTCGACGGTTGCCACCGCGACCACCGCGACGTCTTGATCCGCCATCCATCAGAAAAGAGGGGAAAGGAGTGATAGGCTGTGATGCGAAAAGTGTTGTGAGTGGAAGAAGTTGGCGCGGGTGCTGAAGGATGTTGTTGATGGGAAGGCGGAAGCGCTGCATTTTTCTTTGTTGACCTTGCTGGGATTTTGATAACGGGCAAAAAGTCTCTGCTCTTTGTAGTACAGCGCTAGGCTGCAACGGGTAACGGCCCACGGTTTAGGCGAAGAGCGCTAAACCTCATGTGGCAAGAGGCGATAAAGCGCTACACCTCCATTTTCGAGCGCCCAGGCGCTGAGAGCCAGAATAAATCTATTATGAATTTGAGGTCCCAAAAGCCTAAGGTCTGCTAAACTTTTATAAAATTATACTAAACTTACTTATTTTTGTGTTTTTTCTTAGGGTCAAGATCCTAAATGCTCGTTCCCTCCCTCTTGTTGCCGGTTGATTACAGAAGATGTTGAGATTTTTATTCAAGGCGTCGAAACAACTTGATATAAAATGATGTAACAAAATTAGGAGCCTACCACAGGTTGCTGGGTGTCTATTCCTGCTTCACGCTTTACCTCCCCCAAGAGCAACTTATAGGTCTCACAACGCTCTTGTAGAACGCCTGTTGCATCTCATCCGTCGAGGAACCTTCAAAATCTGATTTCAGACACAACTCTGTAGCCCTCATGTACTCTTTTCCTCTCGATCGTCCAAGTTTCGGCAATGGTTTGCTCAGTATCCATTCCCGAAACGCAGCGGCAGAATGTTCGTACTCCTCAGTCTGGGTGGCCTCTTCATACAGCTGGATAATTGGCTTTTGGAGGCCAAGCTCAAGTAGTAGGATGCCGATGCTATAGATATCATGCTTCATCGCAAAAGGAGTTTTGCCTGCTTTTCTTTGATCGTCCTTGGACGGTTCCTCTGGTACGCCTTGAACTGCTTCATGTCGATACAGATTCGCTTCTAGATCATCTGTCACGCCTTCTGTTTGTCCTGGTGCTGATATCTCTCGACTATACTCGAAACCGGCTAGATAAGGCTCTTCATAAGAGATATTTCCCGTGTCGTTCTGGAAGTACAGAATATTCTCGCTGCGAAGTCCTTTGTGCAACCAACCAGCAAGGTGTAAACACAGCACCGCTCGTGTCACGCTCTTCGCGACTTTGAACCAGTCGTCGAGATAAATGTTGTTCTGGGATCCCTCGAGAATAGTCTTCAATGTTGTGTACTTCTTCCTTGACATGCTGAATACAATCCCGTATCGGACTTCATCGTCGGACGGTCCATCGCGTGTGATGACGCCAATGCAGTCCAACGTTCTGAGATCTTCAAGCCTGGAGCTCCACTTCAGAAGACGTGCAAGATTCTTGATACGATTTCCAGCCATCGCGCGATACGTCGCTGCAGTGTGCCCAGGAGGGATATGAGAGCCATCGATCAGTTTCCACTCCACCAAGACATCAGTGGAGTTGGTCCCCTTCCGAAACACCCCAGTCGATCGCCTCGTTCGCTCATCGAGCGATCCCGTTTCACGAAGAGACCTATCCTTCTCATCAACCTTCTCTGCATTGCGAGCACCGAGTTGAAGCTGCAGCACCATGACCTTGAGAAGAGCTAGACTCTGCAGCATCGAGTCATCTGGCGCTCCCGCAGCGACAGCGTTGAGCTTAGAGATGTTGAGCGACGAGAGCAGAGAATTAGCAACTTGCATAGCAACAGGGTCATTTTCAGGCGGTTTAAAGAACTTGCAGAGATCATCAATCATCGACTCGAGAAGCTCGAGTGTCTTTGTAATCTCCCCTTCTTTGAGAGCCCATCGCAACTTCTTCGAGACTTTAGCCTCATCGCGCATCGCTTCAAGCTTCTTAGCCCACTCTTCCCGCTCTTGGGAGTCCTTGAACGCCATTCGGAGCATGGCCCCAAGCGAGGTCGCCGCTGAAACAGGGACATTCTCTGCAGACGCCAACGCCGGAAATTCTTGTGATAGTTCGCCAAGCGAGTCCAAGAACCCATAAATGATGACGACGTACTTGACCGCAAGATCCCCATTCTCGATGAAGCGGTCATCCTTCCAACAAGCTGCATCAGGTCCTCTGTCAAATCCCCAGTCCAGACCCCAGGCTTTGAACCGTGCGGCTTGCATTTCGAGGCGTGCTTTGAAGATGAGAGCGTCAGAAGCTAAGGTTTCTCCCTTCTGCCAGACGGAAATGCCATCGACGCAGCCTTGGAAGATTTGGAGAAAGAGACTGGTCGCGCCTAGGGCGGTGCCAGCTGTGCCAGTTGGATCGGTCATGGTGACCATCCAGCGAGTATCGAGAAACGGCGAGAAAGGAGAGTTGTCGATGTAGGATGCCAACGAGAGGCAAGAAGACCTGAGACCTTTATCTTAAGTGATGTTAAGACTTAGGCAATTTATTCTAAGTTCAAGGAAGTCTTTACTAAGTTTATTCAAACATATTCTTGTGAAGTCTTATGTTTTCTTGCTTCCCGAGGGCTGTTTTACTCGTGAGACGGATGTCCGGCACTGCCACGATGAGGGGGTTGAAACCAGCTGAGCTGGAGACAAGTGTCATTGGCTATCATGTAGTGTGCCTTGCGAGGGGCAGTGCCGCCACTATCAATATCACTCAATAGATGCTGACCACTGTGACGAGCTAACTGAGTTAGTGAGATGCGGCTGAAACCGCCAGGTTCATGCTGCGTCTCAGCTTCGGCCTTCAAAATATCGACGTCCCCGATTTCATCTCCACTCGAGTCCCGTGGCTTCAAACGGGCCGCACCGTAGTGACGTTGCTCGAGTTTATACAATGGCTAGCGAAGCCAAACAGCGCGATCATGATCTCTTATCGTTCATGTCCACTTTTCTCATAACGCATCAACGCCTCGATCTTTCCTTGACGCTCCTCAGCGTTCTAATCGACGACGCGAGTATCGACGTTCAAGTCCGATCCAACAATGGCGGTTATTTCTCAGTATGCCTCGCAAGATCGAAAGATCTCCTTGAGGCCCGCTTCCTCAATCGCAACGATGACCTATTGCCAGAAGCCACAAATCTACCTGAACTTGTTGCTGTCAAGATTCCGCGGCCGGATGGTGATCTAAACAGTGCTAGGAGTCGCAAGATGTGGTCTTCTATGGCGATGGAGTTGCAGATCCTGCGAAACAAGTTTATCAAGGACCATCCGAATATCGTGCAATTATTGGGAATCTGCTGGAAGTCTGTCAAGGATGGAGTTCTGATGCCTTCATTTGTACTCGAAGCAGCAGAAATTGATCTGGAAAAGTTCTTGGATAATCCAAAAGCCGTGGAGTATCGCAAGGTATTGGGTCTTGCTGTGGATATCGCTACCGGTGTTCGGGCCCTACACGACGTTGGAATCATTCACGGCGACATCAAACCAGCAAACGTTCTCATATTCAAGGATCCCCAGCTCACGTATGTCGCCAAGATTGCCGACTTTGGATCATCTCTCCTTCGATCAGACATCAAATCTCCCATGAAGCTCCCTTTTGGCTCAGGATTCTGGCAAGCACCTGAATGCCGGGACCATCTGGACGGTGACCAACTCACCAAAGCGGATGTATACTCTGTCGGCCTAGTTCTATGGCGACTGCTCGCTGGAGATATGATGCACTTATTACTAGACTCAGTAAAAGACGATGGTCTGACGAGAGATGCGTTCTTCGAACACATGAAACGAAATGACGAGAAGAGAATTCCAGCTACGGTTTATCACTGTCTTATGCGAATGGAGGACATCCTCGGTCCCGAAGAAAAGACAGAGCCTTCGAGGAGCATGTATTCGATCCACAAGGTGGTTGACGACATGGCCTCTGTTATCATGATGACATTGGTTCAGCCGAAATCTCGTTCCAGTATCAAAGCACTGCTGGAGAACATGCGAATCGTCATGCATCGGTATCTCATATGGGAAGAGTTCCGCGGGCTCTATACGGAGGACTTCAAAAAGAGTGGACCTATAAAGATGAACGCGCAAGAGCAGGACATATGGCTTCAGCCAGGTAAGCTTCTTCATTTTTGTAGCAAAGGGCGGATATTGATCAGATAGGCCTTGATGAACCGACCGAAGACGATATCAAGAGGGTTCTACGACTAGGAAGGTCGACGGAGTGGTTAAATCAGACCTTCAGTCATATCAAACGTGGCGGACGTGTTTCGGATCTCCCTGGAATGGATCAAGTGCCTGAGAGTGTTGCCACTACTCATGTTGCCGAAACCTGGAAGCGATGGTGAGAACTCATTGTGATACGGTAGGCCTTGCTAATTTGACTAGGCGAAAGTTAAGAGATCCGAAGCCCGACGAGGCGATAACCCTTCGGCAGGGAAGAGCTGTTCTAGAGGTATGTGGAACAATGCTCAGAATTTCAAGCATGATCTGATTTTGTGTACAGGCAGATTCTTCCATGGGGACACTCAGGGTCCTACCACCCGGGATCATAAGAAATGTCATGCGAGAAGTGAAGAGGGTCGCACAAGATCCCAAGGAAGAACAAGCTCGTCGTACAGAAGCAGCTTGGCAGTACTCAATGTTCAATCTGCGAACTGTTCAGCTCCATTCCAAAAGCCAAGGTACTATCGATGAATCACTTGCAATGCTTCTTCAAGCAGCGGAAGAAGGGCACTACGGCGCTCGTGGTATTGTTGGCCACCTATACGTCTCCCTAAGACGGGATTTCCCAAGGTCGAGAGATATCGAGCTAGCATGGCTGAGGGATGGTATTTGCCACGGCAGTGAGACTGCGAAACGCCGCTTACAGGCCCTGGATCCAGACTTGTACACCCAAGCAACCGACTTACTGCGTACAAGATACTCTGGTCTTGGAATTGAAACTCCACCGCAATATTGGGATCAAAAGACGCTTCCGGACCACGAACTATTTCACGAGACTCGAATCCGTCACCGAATCGGCATGGATGCTAATCAAGGTCAAACTGTACTTCTCTGTGCCATGTCCAACCGCCTTGAGCTCTTGAAACAATTAACGGACCATGGGCTTGTCAATGTCAACCATGTGAACGAATGGAATGAATCCCCTCTTCTTTGGGCTTCAAGAGCAGGGCACAGGGACGTGGTCTTTCATCTCTTGAGTTGTGGTGCTGATCCCTCGGTCGCAAGCGATGAAAGAACTACTCCTCTTCATTTTCTCAGCTCTTTCGACGACGGTGATATTCCTGAGGTATGTCGACGGTTGGTTGAGGCTGGTGCAGGTCTGGAAGCGCGTTCAAAGGCTGGGCATCGCTATCGACAAGGCCTGGATTCAACATACGGTGATGTTGACGGAACACCATTGACATGGGCCGTCGCCGCGAATAATAGTGTCGCAGCCCAGGCCTTGGTCACCTCTGGCGCTGATCCATTTGATCTTCCTGGTCTGGAGATTTCGTATTCTGATACCTTTGGTGGCATGTCCCATGTCTCCCCCGTCTGGTTTGCCGCGATGAACCATCAATACTACATGCTGAAGATCTTACTGCGGAATGTAGCTAAGGAGAAGATCAAGGACTTCCTCAACACGTACCAACGGAAGTTTGGGTCGAATGACAGTTCGGGACAGGACAACCCTATCATCGCTTGGTGCGTAACATATGCTGCGCAGGGTATAGGCAGAAGAGTTCTCTTCCATGGTAAATACCATCAGGAAGCATTTGTGAAGACTTTCGATTTGCTGGTAGACTACGGCGCTGATACAGACGACGTCCATCGCCTGGCTGTTCAACACGGGCAGCCATTCGTGCTGGACTATCTTTTCGGTTCTGGAAAGATACCGAGACCAACACCGCGGAAGTGGATGGAGTTCATTCTCATCGCGGGAGCGACACAAGATTGGATCACATTTGATGTGCTGGTTCGTTACTCGCAAGCTGACGATCTCTCATCAGAGCAGTGGCATCTCTACTACGGGTCTTTCAGAGGTTTGCCGAATAATGTTGAATATCTCGATGTATTCAGGAAACATCGAGACCCGAAAACGGACTACTATCTTCACTACACCAAAGCGCTCATGAGCGGAAAGTTCATCCTCGCTCGCTGGTTTTACGGCACTGGTTTGTGTGATCTTACACAGCAAGTCAGCACATCAGACGAGACCATTTTGGGGTTACTCCTGCGTCGCTGTAAATCCTACTCCAACGCTATTCTCCAGCTCGAACAGGTCTTAAAACTGGATCTTCCCGATTCGTGCTTCTGGGATGTATGTAAGATGTCAGACTCCAGATTTACTGCACTTCATCAGATTGCGTATTTCCCTGAGTATCAGACCAGTAGTACCATGGCCAACGCAGCGCTGCGACTGATCGTTCAGAAATGGTATGAGCCAGAGCATCTCAACGCTCAAGTCGCAGAAGGCGAGTTCAAAGGGAGAACAGCACTGCACATAGCCGCACTGACAGCCAACGTCGGGGCTGTTCGGTATTTACTCCAAGAGGAGGAAGAGTCCCTTGACTTGACGTTGCTGGACTGCAACAACTTTAGCATCGTGGACACTGCAGCTTGGGGACTGATGAGTCAACAAAGCCGCATCAAACTATGGGATCTGCCAACGGAGTACCACAAGTCTGCTGATTTAGACCATTGGCGAAGCGTGATGGAGATTCTAGTACGGCTGCTGAAAGCCGGGGCTAAGCCCAATAAGATTGGTCTTGCGGTGACGAGGACTGAGCAGGAAAAGATTCAGGTCTTTGATCTTGAGAGGTTCAAAGTTTACACAGTTCCATTTAGTAAGTCTTATTGAAACGCGATATGAGCTTGAGGATCTTGCTGACTGATAGCAGTGTTCTTTGGAGACAAGTTCCCGAGGGAATTGGAAGGGGAGAAATTCTGGGTTGAGGTTTCGAAGTTGCAGGTTGATCAGACATTTTTTATTGCGACTCTGGAGAATTTGAGTGATGAGGAGAGGGCGGCTGGGGTTATGACAAGAGTTGCATCGTTCTATTAAATGGCTGTTATTTTGAGTCGTTGGTGGTTGTAGTTCAATTGATTTGTTGTGGATGCCGAGAGAATAAACTTATGATGAGATTCTACTCAAGTTAGCTAAATTAATATAAATACATCAAACCTCAGCCCCTGTTCTATGAACTCATCAAAAGCTTCAGCAAATTGTTTCTAAATTATTCTAAATAGGGCATAAAATCTGCTGCCATTTTAGGGATTTACAACAAGTCTTGATGATCCTCCGATTCAAGATTCGTGTGCTGGGCTGGGTTATCGATAACGGATTGCGATGGCCTCCTTCCTTCTTAATGATCAGGCCTCTTGCCCATCAGCCGCGGGCTCAATGGACTTCCTTCCCGTAACATCAGTGGAATCAATGGCCCCTTCCCATATTGCAGCCATGAACTTCTTGACCATCGCGATGAGAATCTTTGACTTGTTCCTCTTCAGCCTCACAACAACCCCAGCAGCAGCAGCAGCAGAGCAGCAGCAACAACAACAACAACAGCAACAGCAACCATGTCCTCTTGGGACACCATCTTGGATGCCGTGGTGAAGGGGCTCACCTTCGCCGTTCACCTGGTCACCTTGACCGAAAAGGGGTGGGGGTATGCCCGAAAGTGGTGGGGAAAGGAGAAGGACAAGGAGGGGGGTAAGGAAATCTGATTGATACATTAATAGTATGCATACTGACTACAAACAGATTTGGAGATGGGCCCGGTGGGATTGAGGGCCGAGATGGAGGCGATGAAGGGGGAGATGGGCGAGTTGAAGGGGCGAGTGGCGGCAGTCGAGGCAGAGAACAGTGTCCTCCGGGAGGTCGTCAACGACCTCCAGAACCGGTTCGGAGGACCTCTCCCCTCTCGACGGGTCGATGGAGTCCGGCGTCGACCCACGTCAGCCACTCCCTCGCTGATCGAGCGACCGCGTGGCGGCGATAACCACCTTAAAAACCCTTAACGAAAGGAAGAGTGAGGCATCGACCTAGCCAGGCATCTGTCGCTTGCGACAGTGTAAGACCTGGCTAGCCCGGTCCGCGGGTCTGTAGGTCAGGCGCTTTCCCCGATCACTGGTCTTTCATCATTCACCATGACCATGTCGATCAAGCGCACCTTGTCCGGGTCCAGTAGCCAGCACAACTCTATCAATTTTGCTGGTGAAGCTAAAGCAGCCCCATTACCGAGTTGTCCCCAAACAAACACCAACAACAAATCGGTATAAAAACGATGCCTCCGCAACACTCTCACTCCTTACTCTCTCGGCACTCTTCATCCAACATGTTAGACAATCTATACGTCTTCAAGTCGTCACCGAGTACGCCTTCCTTTCGTTACATTCTGCATCTGTCACAGACTGTCACAATCTGTCTAATTTCGCTATTCCCTCGATAAATTGAGTCGCAACTTGGCTCAGCTCGATCATTCCAAGGTCAATCATACGCGAGTTCTCCGCAACCCACTACAACTAGCACAACAATTGTCCCTAACGATGGCAAGAATGAGTCTGCTACTCTCACGAAATCAAGCCAGTCAAATTACCACATCTCGCAACTTGGGTGCGGAAGCCGCCAGATGAACAGTGAGGACTGACATCAAATGCGTCAATGTCGATGCCTTCCAGCAATGACAGAAGTCACCAATGTTCATATAGGGTATACCTCTCAATACGCCCATACCTCGACTGAGATATACAAAAGTCCTCCACTGCCAAGGCCCGCTTGAGAAAGAACTAGAACTACGCGAGCCAGGATTCGTTCATCCCGACAAGCCATCGCACTTTACGATCACACCACTTGCTATCATACTCGTTACCTATCCCAACAGCGGCACCTCTCAGCGAATGTTCTCGGCCAGTTATCTCCTCATCGCTCAATTTTTACACTGACGCCATCTTCCCGCGATGGCGGTATACGCTGATTTTCGACTTTTGTGATGGGTCAAAGGGCAACAACTCCACACCATGATTCGAGCGGCTTGACCATCCTTGCGTGGCGTTGACTCACGTGTCTCATTATCGGTGTTGCTGAGCTTGTGTTGCTTTCTTCGAAGGGACGAGTCTCTCGCTGCCCATGGGATCATCCGTGGTTATCGGCATTCCTTTTCGTGCCTGGAAGCCAATAGCTCTGCTTTTCTTTGCTCCTTTTCTTTTTCGTTTGGGGGTATGTGTCCTTGCGAACCAGAACCGCCATCTCCGGCGCCAGTTGTCACTGATCCCCCTGATGTACCACATACCAAGCTCAGACCGAAGAAACCTGTTGGTTCCGTACTCTTAAGACTTTGGACTTCCAACCACGACTTCAAAGTCGATCAAGCCAGGGTATGTTTGCAACATGTATCCCCGATCAGGTACTAACGAGCATCAAGAATCATGGCGCGCGGGATTTTAATCTCGCTTGCAAACGATATCCGAGTCGACGTCCCTCACGAAGTCTTAATCGACAACAAAGCCTCCTTCGCGAAAGTATCTACCACCACTCACTGGGAGACCCTACATGACGATTGAAGCTGGGGAAGAACTTGCATCTCAAACCTCAGAGATATTCGCAGGATAGTCATTTTACAGCGACCGACTTCGGCACGACTCATTCTGGCAATGCTTCATACTACACTGCTTCAGGATATTTCTCAGACAACCCCCAAGTGTCATCCGCTACTATCAATCCTCCAACGCCTTCCAACCATGATAAAAACGACACAAACCCCGCTTTCTTTCTTTCTTTTCGCCTCATCCCTCTTTCCCGCCCTGTAGGGCCCTCACGGCCGAGCTTGGTCACGATAGTCGATGCTGGGTTGTCACTAATCCCGTGTTCAGGTCTCACACAAATACTAATATCAATAATACGACTAGCTTCAGCCATCTACTTTGTCCTGTTTCTGCGCGTTCGCGGCGATGTTCGACGTGGTCAAATATTTGATCCACATGGCACACCTTTTGAAGTCGAGGCCATGAAGGAAATGGTCGAGGTCTTCAAGACCGGGAGGAAGAAGAATCATATATGTTTTTCGGATTGGGATTCCGCCCCTCGAGCGTGGCATACGGACCAGACGAGATGGGTTGCAGAGGAGCATTTGACTGAGGAGCAGAATTTGATGATTGAAGATGCCTTCATCTCAAACTAAGCATCCTGCCTTCAAATCACTAACAACTTCACCTTCATCTCACCTCCCTCGCACCTACAAACCTCAATCCTCTACCACCACCGGCGCCCGGCGATTGAAGAAGTGGCGGCAGATCGAAAGAGCATTCAGGGTCTGGGAACGGAGGTCAGGGAGCAACCTTGCGAGACCAGTCTTATTAGCGCAAGGATTCTCAACAACTCCTGGTCGGTGTTGTCAACTCAATATGACAGCAATCCTCACGTGACCTCATCGTCAGTCCCAACACTCTCAATCGCAACATCCCCGTCGACCTCGCCCATCATCTCAACCACCTGAAGGAGGAACATCCCTGGATCACTACCGACGCGCTCCTCGGAGCTTCCGTGGCACGCAAAAGAGCTCGGAGTGCAGAACAGGCCCCCTCCTCCCACTGGAAAAGTGAACGATGTTTATTACTGCCGTCGCCTCCGTCACAAAGGACGATACAAATAACGCCAGAACCCTCATCATCAACCCTAGATTTCCTGAACCATCTGAGGCAGCAACAGATTCTGAAGTAAGTTTCTAGATGATACTGGCACAAATCCACGGCGGCAGCAGCAGTAGTCGTACGACCAAGACCGTCATACCAGGGATGATTTCCCTGGATCTCGCCGCCAAGGTGGCCATGGGCGATTGTGCGCTTAAATGTGGCCGAAAGTTTGTCGGCTGGGTCAGAGACCCAAAGCCAAAGTCTGGTATGAAGATGTTACACAATGAAACTTCATAAAAATACTGACATTATGGTGTAGAGGATGGGAGCGAGTTGGCGGAGCGATGCCTTGCGCCTGATCAAATGGCCAAGAGGCTAGCCCTGCTGGAGGGCCTTTTGGGGGTGAATGAGGAGATTTGTCGAGGGGTTAGAGGTCGGAGGCTGGTATGAAGATGTTGTACAGAAAACGCACTCAGAACCGTGGCTGATGGGACGGCTATCGTGGCCGAGAAAAGAACGCTTGCAGAAAGAGGGATTAAATGCATCCGAAGGCCTGGGCATGGTGAAGAGAGAGAGAAAGTCGCCGAGAGGGTAGTATGAAGTGTTACAGAAGCTTGGGAAGAATACTAATGTTTGTTCACTAGTTGACGATTTGATGTTGAGAGGCCTGATGCCTCAGCACCATGATGGGCCGGTGGTTGGGAGAGGCTGTAAGGTTGGGCCATTCACAGAGAGACAAAGAGGTTTGGTTTCCTGGACGTTGGAGGAAAAGTGAAAGTGCGGCATCACATAGGGGGTATCTGTCAATGCCAGGGTCCAGGGGGTGATAATCGCCGCCCAATTTGTCATTTAGAAACGAAGACAGTGGGGTGCTCAGATCTAATTCCTATACGCTGCTATTCAGACCGGCGGGCACACCGAATGACGTTGCTATTGGAAACATAAGGTCCATGGATAGCATATCTGGACTAGTCGCCCATTCCACAGCATCATGGAGCACTTGATATTCTAGTGTGAATGGCAACTTCTGCGCAGAATATTGACCCCGCGGAGGAACTTGGTTATATACCCAGTCACGTCGTAGTGAAGTTCTTTTCAGTATCTCCACCAACAAAAGCCAGCGTGTTCCGTAGCCTGTGCCACATGAAGAACTATCGCACCAAAGCACCCCCTTGGTGTTGTCGTTGAAGATAGGATGCTCATCCGTATCAAATGTTAGATTCGAAAGCCACCCAAAACTGTCCGGGCCGGTGTTTTCCGAAAGCATCACAAACCTAAGAACAATGTAATCACCCTCGCATATCCAGAAGTAACGAGCCCCGCAATGACGGCAATTATACCCGTGGTTTGGGCACCTAGCACCTGGACCGTAAGGCGCCTCGAGTTTGTGAACCGGAATTCCAGAGGCGGGGAAACAATTGCATTTGTCTGATATCATACACGACACGATAGAATTGATCTGTGATGAAGCATGTTGACAAAGACCCTCAACTCCCTTTTCTTCCAACTGTCCCAGCAGACGTACCTGCAGCGCGGCCATTCCTGGAAATTGTCGCTGGTTGATCTTGAGCATTGGGAAAGATTTAGATAATAAGATTTCGTGTACGCCTTCTCGGCATGAAATGCGGATGTTTGGGTAAGATCTTGTGACGCTCCGTAAATCGTCAGCTCCTTTACTATCCGCAACGTAGTGGTCGGGATGTGTGCAGTCAGCATACAGACTTTCCCTACAATTCGGTTGTACTTTTGCTGAGACTTTGACATGCTTGCAAAGGTCAATGTGGCCTAACAGTCCAACGCAGATATTTTCTTTTTCCTTATACTGCGGGAAAAGAAGGTCTGGGTGGTTGTGATTGCATCCAGCGCAACGAATGGGTTGCAGAAGTCTCCGTAGCTGATTCTCCAGTTCCCCTGAGTCTAGGAGATCACCACAGGGCTCGCATAGTGACCTTCGCAGCAAGATCCGCTTGATGAGCCGAAGTTGTTCGCATGTGGATCCAAGTAGCGTAGATCCAAGGACGCGTTTAGTCTGTTCTGTAAAGTGCAGGATGTCCCAATAAAAATCGTCAAACTCGGCATCTTCGGTTAATTCGCGCAGGACCTGACAGGTTTGACGCAGCATGTAAAGCGAGCTATGCGGCAGAAAGCGCATGACGTGAAGCAGCAGCTCTGGCGGGAGTTGCAGTAGTAGAGATTCTAGGCTTTGTTGACTTCCCAACTTCAAAGGCTCGAGCGGTGCTGGAAGGTCTGCATCTTCTGGCACGGGTGTATCCAAGTGGACTGCCGTTTCTCCATCATAAGCCTCCAGGAGAGCGACCTGATATTTACCATCCCTGAGTCGGAATCGGTCACGCATGCGTTGGAACCAAGGTAATGAGTACTGTGGATCTAATTTGAAGTGAGGCATGGTGGCGATGCTGATGGATAGTCTAAGAGGCGCTGATGTGCGCTGGATTGAAGAAGAGAAGTTAGGGGCTTCAAAGACAGAATGGACACGTTTTATAGTATTACCATGCTTGTCAAATGGCTACCTGATTTGCAAGTCAGAAAGTCTAAGAATGCAGAGGTACATTGAGACCAATCATATTATATTAGAGTTTCCCTACAGGATAAGTTAAATTTCATTCTAAGATCATTAAATGGTTCGACTCAGAAGCTTGCCCTCTAATCACCGATTTTCAAACTTTACGTAGCTTATGCTCAGTGAGGCACAGAAGTACTGTGGAGTCAAGAAGCTTCCCAATTTTTGATCTGGCTTTCAGTTGGAATTTGTGCGATTAGGTATGTCTGTTCAAAGAGACAATGTAACTGGGCAAATTGTCATTCTCACCCACCATTAATCTTTCGGTCAACCCGTGAAAACAGACCTCCGCCCGCAGGTCAATCAGACCCGAGATCGTTACTTTCTACTTAATATCAGCTCACGATATAACATCGCCAATGTACTCAGATTCGTACCATGTTACTCGCCCCATTTCAACTGAACATCCGGTTGACTTCCCACCCAAGTCACAAAATTGGCAGTGAGGATCCGGCCCGTGACCTGGTGTTGACAGATACCACCCTGTCCCAATATTTGGAATCTGACAGCGACTGGAACTCAGTATACATCTCGAACATTTACTCTCTCCGCCAGCCGAGAGGGGATGATGTACCCTCGGGGCGGATGAGCAAAGCAGAAAAGGCAAAAAAGGATAGTCACTGGGGACTTCTCCAACAAACGGGGTCTTGGGTTTGCACGAAAGAGGCTGAGGAGCGACCCCCAGTCATTCAAAGAGCGGCTGTGGCTCGGTCAGAGGGCGGGGACGAAAAGGCCCGCGACGGCACTCTGGCTCATTAAGACTAGAGCGGCCCCAAGACCTCCTCAACCGCAACCAGCTGGGTTCGGCCTCAACCGAGGTGGAGGTGGCCGACGTGGGATCGAGGCTGGACCCCGTCAACCCGTCAACCCGTCAGGATGGGAGAGGCTCTCCGCACTGGAGATAGACATCATTGAAAACTCCCTGTGGTTCTGGTGGTGGTGAGGTAGATGGCAATGTGATGGTCTGGTTCTGATGGTAACTCTGCGCAGGTGCCGGTGTTCGAGCCAGTGCTGTCTGTTATTACCCCGTGATGGGGCAAACCATGTTAAACACCCATGTGTCAACGAAAGGAAGAGAGGGTTTGACATTACGTAGTGGAGGGCAAGGGTAAGAGGAAGGATGTAGGCCAAGTGCCCAGTGATAATGACGAAGACGACGACAAACTCAGCGCTGAAAGAGCGCCAAGGCATCCAGCGCCTCAAGAGGGAGATTCGCAACCTCCGAAACCGTGAAGCACCCTTTCGACCTCCTCAAAACCCGGGCATGCGTCATTAAGGCATTCTGCGGAATGAAGCAGAATCCGGCTGGTGTTGCAAGCGGGAAAAGACGTTCCTCGTAAAGGGAACCCGGGTCTTTTTCTCCAATCACCTCGCCCCCGCCGCCGTGACGCTCGTCGAATGAAACCGTATCATGTTGAACAAGACGATGAATCACAGGACTGCAAGTCTTGGGCTCTCAGTTGCCCCGGCTGCATCATAGCACAGCTGCTTCATCTCCCCGGTATTATCTTTTGCTGAGCTTATTTTAGCTTCTCGAGGATAGGTTCATTACAAAGCTTGCGCCTGCCACACTAAAGTTTGTTACTCTTTTCCGAAGGTCAAAGATGAAAATGCAGCAGGTAAGTGGAGGAACCTCAGAAATTAGCTTTGAGTATAAAGTGTAGCCTCTACTGTAGTAATTTCTGAGAACAACTGATTCTTCTTTATGAAAGTCTACACTGTAAAGTCTCTGATCTTAAAGTGAGGCGTCCCCGCCATTTTCTTATTTATATAACGCTCGTCTATCCTGTCGTCCTTCAAATCAATGATCATCACTTCATACCACTCGCAAGCACCATCGCCATGACTCGCCTCAAACTGGAATATAACTTCTCTCACACACCTATTCAGCGTCTCTTGAACCTCTTTCGTTCCAGCAGAGGCACTTATCGCATTCCAGATTTTGAAGAAGAGAGTTGTTCGGTTCAGACACCCCTACCTGACATAGGTCTTATTTCAGCACCCCCCGAGATTAAAAACCAAGGGGTTAGACTACTACAACTGCCACCAGAGTTGATAGTCCTTGTAATGCTATTTCTCCCACACAGCTCTCTCTACATGGTCCGCCAAACCTGCAGCGCCTTACGCAACTTGGCAAACGATTTCAAGTTCCAAGCTTTCCACACTGACATTCTTCGGAGTGGCGAAGAGCACTCCTGCATCACCAAAGCTCAGTTCGGTGAACTTAGAGATATTCAACGGATACTGCTACGAAGATCCCTTTGTACTCCCTGCGGCCGTCTCTTCGACTCAGGGGAACTGGAGAGTAGATTAATGGAGCTGTGGCTGCCGCGCCATTGTACTGGATGTCATCAAGAGCATCCAACACTTCTATTTCCTCAGGGCCAGCAACCGACCTATAAGTGCGTTGGATTACTGGGCAAACTTGCTGTTTGCAAGCACCTCAACATTTCTGGCAAGGTCAAGCCGTACATCGGAAGGAAGACAACGGTCAACTGTACCGATCCGGAACATGTTATTATCGGCAGAAAGAAGTCTGGAGATCTGCCGGCCTTCCAGAAATACCGTGCTGGTATTTCCGTCGACTCCAAGTACGGTAGGGATACATCAGAAGTGTTCAGAGCATTCCCCTTGGCAAAACTTAATCCTCAACAATTCCCCGAGTTAGAAGCTTTGAAAAGTCATCTGATGAAGCATATAAGGCAGTTGGAGCCGGGCAGTCTTTGCCTCCATGCTTCGAATCAACTCGATTCCATCGTTTCATGCCTCGTTTCGGATGATTGCCCTCTCTCGAAGTACCCTAACAACCCCCATAAGCTGCCTGTGTGTCATGCACACGATTTAAAGTACCAGATAAGACTTGAGTGCC